AAGAGGACAGGCATCACACCGAAAGAAGACAAAAGGTGGCACAGACCTACAAATAAATTTGTGTAGGTAAAGGTTCAAATTTGTGTAGGCTCCTTCGTATTATAAAGGAGTATAATAGTTATTATACTCTAAATAAGAGACAATAGTGCATGGTCTGGAAGACAGTGACCATGTCACATGTCTTCTTGCCTGTTTGGCCTACAGTCCAGATGAAACTGTTGATGGGGAATGGTGCTTAGAGTTCTTTATCTTTAAACTGAGCTTGGATTGGACAGCCCTTCAGTCTGAGGATAACTTCAAACAGAGGATCGTCCTGTGGTGGCCCTTTAAACAGAGGACTGTCTTCTGCAAAAGAGGTCACATGGCCACTCTGGGAAGGTCTTGCACACAATAGAGGAAGACTATTTTAGGATTTAACCTTCTGCAACTTAATCTGTTGATAACAAGGGTGGGCAACTTGAGGCCCTTCAGTTGTTTTGGACTGCAACTTTCACGATCCTTCATCATTAGCTATGTCGGCTAGTGCTGAAGCAAATTCCTCCCTAATTTAGAATAAGTGCTGATATTATTATTAATCTGTTAAATTGTCAAAAGAAAACACATCAATTAAGTAGAGCAATGGTAGTGAACATACTGGAAAAATGGTCAGTACTCAAAATGTTGGCCCTGGTGCACCACTGAGAGCTGTATTTGGATGGAAAAGCTGGAAAACCATGTCATTTCCATGGAATTGCTTGGAAATGTGCACAGGATTCTTTGGATTCTGGCCACAAGATAGTATATGAAGTCAATTTAGGGTACAATTCATGCATAGCTGGCTGGGGAATGCGGGGAGTTGTAGGATTTCTCTCTATATCTGCATAGGATCACTTGCTTAGCATGCTAATTATTTATATACTGAGTGCAAATAGTAATGCACTGAAGGGCATCCTGAAATCTTGCCCAATCCTTAATTACAGTCCTTAGTACAGGTGGGGCTTATAACAAAGAGTTGCAAGTTGGCATATTCTTAATCTGGGCTTAATCAGATACCACGGCCTCTTCTCTGATACTCAGTTTCATTCTCCTGACACTCCCCAACAGCAATAGGTAAGTATTCCATGCTCAGTGAGCATATCCATGCTTCATTAGGCTGTTTTGTTGCCCCATCCCCCTTTTTCATGGTTTGTTTCTCAACATTTTTTATTTTGTACTGTAAAAAAGCTTACTTCTCAACTGGGCCAAAAAGATGTGTCTGAAATTTGCAGTGAGAAGCTGGTGGTCAGAATGTAGCTACCCCAGAATGCCAGAGGCCTCTATCGAAAGAAGAAGTCAGGTAAACACTATGGTTAGGACTGTGTGACAGAAGAGCACACTATGTGGAACGTAAGCATCAGCTTCTGCATTTGACAAACTTGTTGCTATGGCTACCTACCTACCAAATTTCAGACATCCAGAGCTCACCCAGAAGAGCAATTCATGCTGCATACACAGGAGAACTATAGCACAGACACTTTACTATAAGTACAAAAAGCAAATTTAAAAACAAACAATATTTTAGAGCTAGCCTTGATTTATTGCCATCTCTTTATATAGCTGTAAACCAAAACGTCCATAGCTTAAAAGCAAACAAATGTGATAGGTATAGGTCTTTAATGAAAACTGGGAGTTTTCTTGTATTCTCTAGAGCTGTGGGGGCCAAGGTTATATGAGACAGAAAGACAGAGGGAAGACAAACTGGGTGAAAAGCAGGGTCCTGTAATCCAGGTATGAGTGAAAAGAGAAGGGCAACACCAGCACAAAATCACTTATCACACATATAACCTTGGATGGAACCAGAAGGTGGAATATGCTACTTAACTCTCTCCTGACCCACCACATAAATGACCTTTTTTAAAAGGAAAACACTTGGGATTCTTTTTTGCAAAGCTAGGCCATCTGGAGATGATGAGCTATGGCATGGCTTAACTAGCCATGACTGGAAATGAGTCCATGTGATTTGATGGAAGCAGGGCAAAACAAAGGCTGCAATGATTATGAGAGAGAAGCAATGATGCTCTTTGCAGGATCAGAGAACTGTACTTTCTAGATGTTTTGGGCTGCAACTGCCATCAGCCCCCGGCAGCATAGCCAATGGCCAGGGATTTTGAGAGCTGTTCTTCAAAACATGTGACGGGCACTGAATTCCCCACTTTACTGAGATCTGTTGATCGTTTGAAATCCTGAGGAGCTACTGGATTTGTCACTGGAGTTTGTGCCCCATAAGATGACCACAGCCATGAGAATTAAAGATTTTAAACAATTAATTGATTAGGTGATAGAAATAAACTTAAAATGCTGGTTGAAATGAATGCATTGTTTCATGACTAGTACAGAATACATAAATTGGAGCCTGTTTAATGAAGATGGTAATTACTGCAATACAGATTATTAATTATATGGAAACTGATGCATGGTACAGCTGTCCATCAGTACTGAATGTTGTAATATACAGGACAGCTGTGACTAAAAGCTGCAATCTATTAACTGGCATTAATGAGATATTTGTGCTGGTGTCCCCTTTGTCACTAATGTGTGACACTGAAATGTCTTGTGAGTACCATAAAAGCTACTGGCAAGCGGCACGGAACTTACACCCATCCAGTTAAATGAAAGAACAAATGAGTGAGAAAGAGAGAGAGAGAGCCAGAGAGAGAGAAATCAACAAAACCAGATTGTTCTCCAAGAAAAAAATCTTTTGCAGGGGAGACAAAGAGGAGAAAGTGATAAAATGCCAGATAAAGTAATGGTGGTGTTCTAACTTAACATGCTACTGTAACCCCAAATCGGGCTGGTGCTGAATTTCAGCAGCAAATTGATACTAGTAGCTTCATGGCTACTCAAAATGGCTACTTGCAAGTAGCCACATGCCACTTAACACAAACTCAGGCACAAGAGCAGTGTCTTCAAAAGATTCCAGGTCTACCCCTATTCCTATATCCAGTCCAGCAATGTTATTACAATAATATGAAGAATAACATCTGATGTTCTTTCACCTAATCATCTTCCAATGTGAGGATCAGCTGTCCCCAATGCCGTTCTAATTTTTACTTAGGAAGAATAAGGAAATTTCTGCACAGAAAAGCAGCTGGACAAAACTGACATCAGAAATGACTAAGGTAGATTTGATTTAAATCAAATAGACTTAAATCACTAATTTGCATGCCTGCCTGCCTCACCCATAGGTAGAGAAACTTCATTAAAATTGAAACTGGGTCTCTTTGATGCTCCCATTATAGGTTTTCTCCTCCAGGGAAAGAATATGATAAACCTCAAGCTACACAGAAAAAGATCCAAAGACTTGTAGAGAATTCTGCCCAAAAGGTTTCACTTTCATTTTTACTGCTTGCCCCTCCCACTTAGCTTCTTGTTCAGATCTATTCCACTTGCAGCAATCTTCTATTCATTGCATTTTTGAAACTTAGTAATTAAGAGGTAAGGGGTTGATTCTGTGTGTATAAATTTGCAAAGGAACAATGGGATTAAGGTCTTTGTTTGCTTTTATAACCCTTTTCTGTGAAGAAGAGGCATGTGATCTATTCAGACACAAATTCATAGTTCTGAGAATTGTAAAAGTTAGCATCTGTGATAATATCTTCCAGATAGAAAAATTACCCAAAAATCTTACAGAAACTTCTGGAAGACTTTTGGATTATAATGTATCTCAAATAGAAAACTATCTTTAGATAGATTTTTCCTCAAAAAGCATTTTATTTTACAAAATCCAATTTAATTCAAAACTATGATTTAAATAAAAATCCGTTTTTTCCATCATTGATTTTTATCCATCCTTGAAATGACAAAATTCAGTCTCACACAACACCACCTTGCTGACCTATAAGTTGCCAATGTTCTACAGAGAAACAGAAATATGAAAATGAGACGTCCAGTGTAAACCTACTGACCTCGAATTAAACTTTTAAGAACATTCTGTCAATTAAAGCTTAAATAGAAATAATGTTTTCCTCTCCCAATAATCTCAGGCTGAATGTATTACCACTAGTTACTACTGTGATAACAGATACTTTGCTTATTGAAAGCTTCCAATAGAATTGTCACAAACTGTAGTTTTTGCATATGGCCCCACTCAAGAGCTGCGAGGGCCAAGGGCACATGGCAGGGGTGACTGACTTGCTCAGCGGACAGGCCACACACAGTAAATGTCAGGTGTTTGAGAGCTGCAAGTGACTGTCAGTGGGCGGCAAGCAGCAAAATTAAGCTCAAAGAGCTTCATGTGGTTTCCAAACCTCAGTTTGGCCACTCCTGGTATATGGGAAAGAGTTGCTTACTCTCTATACATTTACTTGCCCATTGATAACCATGCATCTGATGAAGCAGAACCAAGTTCACAGTCATATGTTTTAATAACTCCGATCATATTTAAAGTTCCTTGAAGCTACCCTGGTCATCCTTGTGGAAGTTCTATATCCATTTCATGCAACATTTGGGAATCCTGAGCTGTTTTAAATTAAATGGTTAAATACTGAAGCTGCAGCTGTCACAAAGGTAGTCTTTTTCCCTTCCTAAGCATACACTGAATTAACGAAGTTCCAATTTATTTTTCAATGAAGCAAATTCAATGTACAGCAGAGTTTTGGGTTTTTTATAAAAGAGAACAGACAGAAAATCAAGCATTTGAGAACCTCGACTCTTTTGCCTTCCTAGATCCGAAGGAGTTAAAAACACATTTCCAGTTACACAGTGTTTTACAACAATCTGCATTTAGGTTTCATAAGTAATAGTCAGAAATCACTCTGTCAATTTTCTACAAGTGAACTGAGGACTCATTATAATCAATTAGTGCTTATATGCATTCAGTATTCATGCTATTTGTGCCATAGCCAACTATACATCCAGAAGAATTATGGCTATGAACCAGCCTCATTAAAATTCAGACACTCTTTGAAAAGAAACACCTCATTAAAACAGTGCATATTTCTCCACATACCAAAACCCAAATTAAGAGAATGGACACCACTTACCTAGCATGCGAACACATTTGGCATTCTGCTCTGGACCATCGAATGAGATTTCTCCACACCTCTGAAAAATGAAAGGAACAAATTCAGAAGACCCTCACAGAGAAGGCATATTTAATTCATATTAGCTTCACAATTTGATTGCTTTTGTTTTCCACATGGAGATTCCTTCATCCGAATTTAAGGAATTACAGTCACTTTGAGAGCCAGATTTCTGTGTAATAAGAGCCTTTTTATTGAGAAAATGGCCTTCAGTGAGGGATGGTGGAGAACAAAAGGTCCTAGAAAATGAATTTAGGTTTCAATAAGGCTTTTTTCAGTACAAGTTCAAGACTGACGTTAATATTGGAGACTAGAGGAATGAAGTTCCACTGATGTTACCAGTTACATTCCAAAAAATCATACAATCCAGAATAGGTTTGATAATTGAAATAAAGCACTGTTTAGCATTTCCACAAACAAAACAGATATCATAACTGAATAGCAGCAACCTGCTATATTTCTCCATAAAGTTTGTTATGATGATACTTCCAGAACAAAATAGTCCCCTCACAGCAGCCGGGGGCCTTGGGGGCGGGGCCACAGGGCCACGGCCCAGATCATTTGCTGCTATTATGGTGCCAAGCTCAGGGAAGTGAGAAACATCTGAAATGGCATGTGCAGGAGCATGGCCCTGCATTGGCAGGGTATTTGCCCTCCAGCCGCATTGAGTCCGACCAGGATGCTGGCTGGGGTGCGAATTGGCCAGCAGGTGGCCTGGCTAATTAAGAGATCCATTCTCACATCCATCTTCACATCGTGTCAAACTCTAAGAGGTGTCCAATAAAGTTGTGGTCCAGTTGTAACCCAGCTCTGATTTTGCGTAATTGCTGAATTCTTGGAACAGTGAACATTAGGTGCTCAGGGCACAAACCAGCTTCAGAAATTAATCTCACATGTATAGCCAATTGTGAGAAACACTGTGCTGACTAAAGAATGAATGGAGGGATGAAGAAGACAGGAGTCACTGGGGACAATTTTCACCAAGCATGGTGGGTTTGGAGAGGGTATGCTGCTATCTAAGCACACCCCACCTGTTTCATGCTTTGTGGTGGGGCCCATTGGGTGCTACCCTTTTACCAAGCAACACATATCATTGTGAAGCCTGAAGTATTTTAGAAATTGATGGTGTGCTTCTGGAGTCTCCACACATCTGGGGAACGTGTGACGAGGATACCCAAGAAGGCAGACAAGGTCACGGTGGTGTGTGCCATGTTGCACAGAGGTTCAGAACCTTTAAAGTGTTCAGCTAAAGTATTGGGGGGGGTTTCATCTGTGAATGTGCCCACCAAGAACTTCTCCAAATGGAATTTGTCCCTTGGTCAGAAAGAGATTCTGTCCCCCTGCTGTCAGGGCACACTGCCTTGAGATGCTGGCACTGCACCAATGCCAGGGAACACATCACCAGGAACTTCTCCAGGGACCAATGCTAAGAATTCACCCATTTGGTGACACCATGGGCATCAGTTCGCTGCATGTCCAGCCTGTCCTTGACCACCCTCAGCAATGGGGCTTCAACCAGTTCCTGTGGAAGCACATTCCATAACCTAGGGTTCCTGTCAGGAAGTACTTCCTGGCATCCAAATTGAACCTTGGTTCCCTGAGCTTTGCTCCATTGGAATGTGTCCTGTCCTCTGCAGGGGAAAACACACCTCTACCCACCTCTGTATGACATCCCCTCACATACCTACTATATATCACCAACATATCCCTTCGAGTCTCCTCTTCTCCAGGCTGAAAAGACCCAGTTGCCTCAGTCTTGCCTCATACGGCTTTCGCTGCAATCCGGCCACCATCCTTGTGGCCCTCTGCTGCACCAATTCTAACCTGGCTATATCCTTCCTGTAATCTGGAGCCCAGAACTGAACACAATACTCCAGTTGCGGGTGCACCAGAGTTGTATAGAGTGGCAGTAATACCTTTCTCGATCTAGAAGCCATGCTTCTGGCTATGCAACTAAGGCTGGAATTCACCCTCTTGACCACCTCATCACACCGCTGACTCATGCTTACCCTGCAGTTGACCAGCACCCCAAGATCCCTTTCACAAGTGCTGTTCTCCAGCCACTTGTCCCCTCACCTGTACTTATGACACCCATTCCTATGCCCCAAGTGCAAGACCTTGCACTTATCTGCATTGAACCCATGTCTAGTTCTTCTGGAAGAGAAGATGAAAGATGGGGTGAGAGCTAGATTATTGCTAGTCCTTCGTTACCATTCCCAGTCATTGAAGATGTACAGTATATCATAGAAGCGAATACACCCCTCACTTTTTGTAAATATTTTATTATATCTTTTCATGTGACAACCCTGAAGAAATAACACTTTGCTACAATGTAAAGTAGTGAGTATACAGCTTGTATAACAGTGTAAATTTGCTGTCTCCTCAAAATAACTCAACACACAGCCATTAATGTCTAAACTGCTGGCAACAAAAGTGAGTACACCCCTAAGTGAAACTGTCCAAATTGGGCATTATTAGCATTTTCCCTCCCCGGTGTCATGTGACTTGTTAGTGTTACAAGGTCTCAGGTGTGAATGGGGAGCAGGTATGTTAAATTTGGTGTTATCGCTCTCACTCTCTCATACTGGTCACTGGAAGTTCAACATGGCAACTCATGGCAAAGAACTCTCTGAGGATCTGAAAAAAAGAATTGTTGCTCTACATAAAGATGGCCGAGGCTATAAGAAGATTGCCAAGACCCTGAAACTGAGCTGCAGCACGGTGGCCAATACCATACCGCAGTTTAACAGGACAGGTTCCACTCAGAACAGGCCTCGCCATGGTCGACCAAAGAAGTTGAGTGCACGTGCTCAGCATCATATCCAGAGGTTGGCTTTGGGAAATAGACGTATGAATGCTGCCAGCATTGCTGCAGAGGTTGAAGGGGTGGTGGGTCAGCCTGTCAGTGCTCAGACCATACGCTGCACACTGCATCAAATTGGTCTGCAGGGCTGTCATCCCAAAAAGATGATGCACAAGAAAGCCCGCAAACAGTTTGCTGAAGACAAGCAGACTAAGGACATGCATTAGTGGAACCATGTCCTGTGGCCTGATGAGACCAAGATAAACTTATTTGGTTCAGATGGTGTCAAGCGTGTGTGGCGACAACCAGGTGAGGAGTACAAAGACAAGTGTGTCTTGCCTACAGTCAAGCATGGTGGTGAGAGTGTCATGGTCTGGGGCTGCATGAGTGCTGGGGAGCTACAGTTCATTGAGGGAACCATGAATGCCAACATGTACTGTGACATACTGAAGCAGAGCATGATCCCCTCCCTTTGGAGACTGGGCCGCCGGGCAGTATTCCAACATGATAACAACCCCAAACACACCTCCAAGACCATCACTGCCTTGCTAAAGAAGCTGAGGGTAAAGGTGATGGACTGGCCAAGCATGTCTCCAGACCTAAACCGTATCGAGCGTCTGTGGGGCATCCTGAAATGGAAGGTGGAGGAGTGCAAGGTCTCTAACATCCACCAGCTCCATGATGTCATCATGGAGGAGTGGAAGAGGACTCCAGTGGCAACCTGTAAAGCTCTGGTGAACTCCATGCCCAAGAGGGTTAAGGCAGTGCTGGAAAATAATGGTGGCCACACAAAATAGTGACACTTTGGGCCCAATTTGGACAGTTTCACTTAGGGGTGTACTCACTTTTGTTGCCAGCGGTTAAGACATTAATGGCTGTGTGTTGAGTTATTTTGAGGGGACAGCAAATTTACACTGTTATACAAGCTGTATACTCACTACTTTACATTGTAGCAAAGTGTCATTTCTTCAGGGTTGTCACATGAAAAGATATAATAAAATATTTGCAAAATGTGAGGAGTGTATTCACTTCTGTGATATACTGTAAATTGTAAAGGAGATGTAAATTGCTGTCACAGTTGCTATTTTCCTGGTTTGCTTGCTTAATCAATTTTCTTGATCTGCTTGCTTAATTAATTTCAATGTCTGTTATTAAAATGTTGTAATCCAGTTTACATTTGGATTACAGTTTGAATTGAAAACTAAAAATCAGAATATCCACTATGGAAAAGATGAAATCCAAAATGCATTGTAAAAAGCAACATATCTGCATAGCAAAAACATTCCAAAAATTTTGGGAGTTCCAAGATGGTTAACTAGAAGGTTAACTTTCAATGTTTTCTTCACTCAAAAAGAATGGGAGATTTCCCTTAGACTTCCATGAAAAATGGATTCATCCCTCAAGTATGTTTCAGCAGCCATAGCTCTACACCGGTGAGCTCATTCAATATTTTCCAAGAATGCAATACATTTTACTCTGGTTTACCACAGGAGGAAATGGACTATACAGTACAACACTGTTTGGTTAAGAAAATCATTTTTTCCTTTCCTCATTTCACAGTATTTAATTGGCTTCTTCATTCCTTCTAATTTTTTTTTCACTTAATAGAGCAGAAAATTTCCTGCTTTAATAGATATACATAAAGATATACATTGAGGTTATTAGTAGAAAGACAGCTGCATATTTTTTCTGAGAAATGTAGTATAAGGGATGGAGGTGTTCTGTTTTTCAGAAAACAAATACTTCTTTCATTTCCATTTAACGTCTTTCATTTCCTTTTACTGTCACAGATATACTTTTTCAGCAACTATGACACTGACAAGCACCCCAAAGCCTTCCCTGCTTTTACTGTTGCACAACAATAGTAATGCCTGCCTGTATGATAGACCCAGGATAAAACAGCAGTGCCTCTTTTGAATACTCATTCGTCCTGGTAGTTTTCTCCTTCAATGCATGAAGCTCAGCATGGAGGTAGCAAAAGCCAACCTTGATTCCTGTAGGCTATACAATCTTTTATTAATGGAGATCTATATAACCAGGCAGGCTTCCCAGGCCATTCATGTCTCACATGCAGTCGCTCTGCTCAGACCCGAAGGAGTCATGGGGGCAAACTGAGTTGGACTGCTGGTTCATCCAGCCCAGTGTTGTTGACAATGTCTGGCAACGTCTGTCCAGAATCTCAGGCTGAATTCTTTTCTAAGTCAACCTGGAGAGGCCAG